TAAATTGAAAATTTGTCAAATTTCAGATCGAAAGCTGCTAGTGGCTATTATCAGCTGACCCGGTGTAAGAGCGAGTAGTATAGTAGCGTAGCGAGAGTTTTCAATCTCATGATAGAATGTGGGCAGTACCCATCTGCCTTAAAAATTGCAAAAATTATTCCAATCTACAAGAAAGGAGAACCCTCAGAGTACAGTAACTACAGGCCACTAGCACTGCTGCCTAATTTCTCCAAAATATTTGAAAAATTAATTTATAAAAGGGTACCTATATAAGTTCCTAGAAAAACATAGGATCTTTTGCAGGAAGCAGTTTGGTTTCAGGAAACACTGCTCAACGACGGAAGCTTTGTTTGAGATATTAGACGAAATTACACAGGATGCTTTACAATACCCAAATCTAGCATTGTTTTGTGATCTAACAAAAGCGTTTGACTTAGTTGATAGAGACTTGCTGTTAAAAATTTTGGAGAAAGTAGGCATAAGAGGAAAAGCGGGCAGTTACGGTCATATTTACATCAGTGGCTTCAATATGCTGAAGTTAAAGTAGAAGGAAAAACGTACATCTCAATGAAATTATTAAACGAATATGGAGTCCCCCAGGGTAGTATCTTAGGGCCGCTTTTATTTATAATCTATGTAAATAATGTACTAATGAGTGGCTCGGCTGTGGATTATGTAGATGACAAAACAGTGGTTTTCAAACAACTAAAAAACGAGGAAGACTGGAAATCAGTAAAGAAAGATGTAATTAATCTAAGAGAACTATATTCAGCCATGTCGCAGTCATTCAGCACGGAAAAATCAGTATACATGCTATTCAGCAAAAACGGAAAGCACGAAGTGAACTTGATTCAATGGACAGACAGCCAATGACTGGGAAATCGAAAGGGTGAATAAACACAAAGTACTAGGACTAATAATACAGGAAAATATTGAATGGAATGAGCATATAGACGCGATAGTAAAAAAACTAGGATCCTACAGCTATGCAATAAATAGGCTAAGACATTTACTAAACAGAGCTGATTTGATTAAGCTTTATTATGCCTTCATCTACTCGACGATAAGATATGGGATAATGTTCTGGGGAAACTCGAAAGGAGTTGATAGAGTATTTAAACTTCAGAAAAGAGTACTTCGTAACATTTTTGGACTTAAAAAAAGAGAAACATGTAAACTGATATTCAAAGAAAATGAATTAATGACTGTATACAATATTTATATAAGGGAGTCAGTTTTGTTTGTAAATAGAAATAAGCACTACTTCGAATTTAATAGAGAAAAAGAGAACTATAGAGGTAGAAATGAGGCGGACATAAATATATCAGATATACCAAACGGAATGATTTCCAAAGGGCCAAAATACAATTGCTCAAAGATATACAACAAACTCCCTAGATATATTAAAGAAATTGAAGAGAGAAGCACCTTCAAAAGAAGAGTAGATACATTTTGTAAGGAGAATGTATTCTATAGTATTGACGAATATTTAGAGTAAATTATATATATAAGATTTATAACAATTTTTACTTTGACTTTGTAATCTTTTGTTTTAAATCAAAAGAAACAATAAATTATTATTATTATTATTTTCTTTTTTATTATTATTATTATTATTATTATTATTATTATTATTATTATTATTATTATTATTATTAAGTAAACAATCGGAGGGTGCCATATTTCAAGTTGAAAAAAAATATTTCCAAATCGAGCTGTTCCGTGTGTTTGAGAAAATAGTGTCATGTATTACCCATCAATCTCTGCAGAAAAATCTGGAGAATCGATTTCTGAAAACTCCGACGCATACATTTTTCCTTGTTTTCGAGATATTTTCGATGGAAAATGAACCCCGTGTTATTTTCCATAAGGGCTCCAAAAAGTGGGCTCCAGTCGAATCAGCCAATCAAAGACGACTCGTCTAAAAGTAAGGGGTGTCACTCGCTCCCCTAGTAGCCAAAATAGGATCATCGAATAGGTATCGGCCGGATAGGCTATTTTATAGCTATTTATTTTGTTATTTTATACGGTATCGTACAAATAGCATATTTTACCGCTATATCATAGATATTCCAAGCGCATTTATCTTGGTTTAAAATTTCCGTTTGAGAATATGTATTTTATAGCTACCTATTTAATACGTTTTTTTCTTCTTTCAAGCCACTCATCCTGTTGCAAGGGTTACATACCCAGTTCCCAGTTAGCATCTAATCTTCCGAAAATATCCGCACAAAATCCGGCACCTTTACATCATTTAAAAATATTGCGGACAATATTTTCACAAAAAGTCTTTATTGACTTTAAGACTTTATTTGGACTATTAAATTAAAGGAAGTCATGTACTTTATGGGAAAGTGAATAATTTAAAACACTAAATGGGTGGAATAAATTGCACCATTCAACCTTCAAATTTAAGAAACCCAAGAATTATAGTGTATTTTCTTAAACATGTTAGTGAATTTTCTTACTATTCTTAGTTGCAGCCTTGAGAACCATAAGATGATAAGTGCATTGCAACGTTGCTATGTTAGAGCAACTTTATTTTTTGCAAACCAAAATCATATAGATTTGCAAACTTCAATGCAAAAAAAATCAGCCTAGCCCAGGGAATTTTTGCTAAAAAAGTTTCGCCTCTGCATGGTTTTGATTTGCTGCATTTATCGTATACAGTTGCACAATCTTGGCAATGTATCAATGTACTTACCACCTTATGATTTTCAAGGTCTCAATTTTGGTTCTCTTTCAAAAGTAAAATACCTTTTTAATAGGTTTCCATATACCTATTAAATAGCTATTCAGATACCTATTTTATAGCTATAGAGAAAGCTATAAAATACGGTATTTATAGTTGAAAAAAAAGGACACTATATAGGATATTTAGATAGGATATTTTATATCCATTTTCAGCTATTTTATACCCTATTTTATAGCTATTTGGATACATATTAAATTGCTATTTCGATAAGTATTAAAAATAATATTTTGGCTACTAGGGTCCGCAATTCACGCCAGGACTCTTGTTTTCTCTTTGCTTTTCTTTTAATGATCGGCGAAGGTACCGGTAGAAATCCGTTGGCCGCCATTATGACCATCGATGACCTTCGATCAGTCGGTAGTTTGAGAACGCTTCTCCTTCTTTCGATGGATACAATTGGTTGTAAACAAAAGCAAATTCCTAACCTACAACAAAACTCCAACCAATCGACCACGAGGAGACAGTATTTGTAGGTCAGCTGATTCACCGATGAAACATGTGCCAGAGAAATGGCCGCTACCTCCGACCCAAGTAGCAGTGATCACGATAAATTGCGATTTAATCGGAGAATGTATCGCGATTTTATCGACGTCGCGATTTATTGCAATATAATCGCGATTTTATCGACGGCGATTCATCGCAATATTATCGGGAGAAAAATCGCGACAAATTGCAATAAAATCGCGATTTTATCAAACGCGATTTTATAGAGATAAAATTGCAATTTTTCATCAACGCCCACTAATGCATGAATGACGCATATAAAAGATGTTTCTATGCCGCCGCGGCCGTTTTTACCAAGGTCCGTTGATAACTTAACCATCTCATTTTTTTTATCAATTATTGGTAATGTTACAAAGACAGACTGGTAAGCTTACCTAAAAACCGGTACCTTTACTGATTTTTTCAGGTAAGAAAACCACTTTTATTGGTAATCAATTCCCGGTAACTTTACCATTTTATCTCGGTAATTCTACCACAGTCGATAAAAATATTGGCGTTTTTACCAAGGTCCATCGGTAACTTTGCCATCTCACTATTATTGGTAATTTTACAGAGACAGAATTATGAGATTACCAATAGAACCTTATTTTACCAACCGTATTTCAAGGTATGAAACAAAATACAGAGGGAAAAAAAATGAAATAAAAAAAAAAAAAAAAAATCCAATGAAAACTCGGTGTCAGTCAACGCAAAGACATAAGTTGTAAGGTTGCGAAGCGCCGATCCATGTATAAGAGGCTTCAATTCGCACTCGTTAGTCATATAGCGGCCATAGCATAGTGACAACGTGCTGGCCTTCCACCTTAGCGATTGGGGTTCAAATCCCCGCGGAGGCTCCGGGGATTTTTCGCTCGTCTTCGTCAAAGGACCTGACGGCTGAACCTAACGGCAATCGGCTAACAACGTTGATCCCTTTTTTTTGGCGATTTTATCGGTGATAAAATCGCTAGGATCATCAACATCTGAGCGATTATCCTCGATCTTGTCGCGATAAAATCGCAATAAAATCGCGAAAAGATCGAGGATAATCGCTCAGATGTTGATGATCCTACCGATTTTATCGCCGATAAAATCGAGGATAATCGCGATTTTTCCGTTGAAAAATGCTACTTGGGGAGCAGTAATCGGTGGTACCAAATCCAGCGGCCGATCAACCGACGGTCGCGACGTCAGAGCTGACAGATCAGTTTAAGAACGCATTCTGGTGATCGACCGTACCGCCGATCAATGAAAGAAAAGCCCTACAGCAATGGCCGTTACGTATGATCAGTGATCGGTGATACCGAATCCATCGGTCGATCAACCAACAGTTGTGACGACAGAGCCGACCGATCAGTTTAAGAACGCAGTATTTGGTGATCGAAGGCACCGCCGATCACTAAAAAAGAAAAGTCTTATGGTGGAGAAAAAACACAGCTTGTAGACTGATTCAAAGACTACTTCATTCGATGTGATACCTATTCAAATTTTGGTACTCTTGATATTGATTTGGAATTAAAATCAGTTATTTTTGTTGTGCAATCTTGTTTTACGTCATCACGTGGAATTTGGAAGAGGAAACTTTCATCAGAATGCATTCGTCCTGCGTGTGGTGGTCCATTGTTCAAAATTTTGGAAGTGCATGCGTTGCGAGCTATGGACTCGTAGCGCAGCGTAAGTGGCGAGTCCTAAAGAGGGGGGCAGCAGGCCCTCTGGACTGGTTCCCTACCACGAGGCCTGCGCCATGCGTGACGTCATTGTATCCCAGTACGGGGCGCACTATAAAACACTGACCGCGGCGCGTTGATACAAAACCGTGTCCGCTATATTCGCGTCATGAAGTCATTAGCATTGGTAAGTACTCCCGTCGTGTTCACTTTTCTTCCATTTTCTTAAAAGGTGATCGGCCACACATTGGAAAAGTTTCCTGCTGGATTCCCTCACAAAGTGCGTTTCCCATTTTTAGGCAGTTTCGCCGCGTCCTCTGAGGTCTGTGATAATTTGAATGCGTTTCCGGGAGCGCATCTCTCTGTATTTCTTTTCAAAAAGTTCGTTTTGGGTAACGCAGTCGCGAGATTGGTGTTGTTGTTTTCGAAGATGGACCCGAAATCCTGTGCTTAAGTGTGACGAATAGAAGGACTGAAATGCTACCTTTCAACATTGGACATCGACATATAAGTTGTGCGACGACGTGACTCTTCAATGTTTACTTTTTCTTGGTTTTTATTGCAGAATGAAGGTACCTTTATTAAGTACCTACCAACGTGTGTTCTTATGACAAGGATCAAGGCGGGAAAAAAGCAAAAACAAAAACTATAAATAATTATAAGGATTCGTCATCAGAAAAAATCATAGAACAAAACTCTCTCCGTTCTCCGTCTAAATTTAAACCAGAAAAAATTTCAAACTTGAAATTCGTTTCACTTTTTCAGTATGTGAAATTAATCAGACTACTCTTGAAAGCTACTGATTGTATTCGACATTTTTGCAATAAAATCAAAGTAGGCATAAAAATCAGGGCCTCGTGTAACACCATTTCGCAGAAAAATGATGGATGATTCTGATTATTAGTGAAATTTTTCAAAAACAAGAAGTCCACTGATCTCTTTTCGTGTGAAGCCGAATGGCGGATGTTGAACGATGCGTGGGAAGTCAGAACATTTAATTTTCACGAAGACGAAGAAAAGACCTCTCAAAACACGAGGTAGAAAAAAAAGATTAACTTTAATTACTTTTTTTTACATTTATAAATCCCTATTTCTACTAATTTATAGCATTTCTTTTCTTTCCCCTTTTTTTGTATAAAAACCCGAGGTTAAAATTTTAATAATTTAGGTATACGCTTGAGGTCGTAACGGCAAGATAGGGAGAAAACTTGTTAAGAGCTATAGTTATTTAATCTATTGGTAGATGCTGGCAGTGCCCTGCTCTGTAATCATCACTTATCATGAATTTATGTTTGCAATTTGATGTTCCAAGCCACTCCTTCAGAATGCAATTCTTTGGTTCAACCACCAAATAAATATGATATTGCTAAAAAAAAAAAAAAAAAAAAAAAAAAAAAAAAAAAAAAAAAAAAAAAAAAAAAAAAANNTTTTTTTTTTTTTTTTTTTTGGGGGGGGGGGTCAACGGAAGAATTAGCTCAGCAATTTTTCTGCTTGGCATTTCTTTCCAATTTAGCAATTTCCTCAGCAATTCAGTTTTTCTCCGTATTGCGGGAATTTTTATTCTTCTTTCACTTTTTTCTTTCTCTTATACAAGTTCTCTTAAACATTTTCATGCAAATTCATTTTTTTGACAATGTACATTTAAAAATTCCTCATAGAAATTAAAAATTAATGAAAAAATAGGAAAAAATTAGGTAAATGGGTGAAAGAAATTTAAGAACATTTTGGTAAAAGAGCAGAGAGGAAACTGTAACATGTTATGTACATATCAGTTTTATCATCGATACTTGAAAGCTTCCCCTCCCCCTAACACATAGGTAGGTATGATTGAAGATAGATTATTTAATTATTTATAAGAATGCTAAGCACCGGTTATTCGGTAAAGGTATGCTGATTTTCGGTCTAAAAAAAGTATTCAATGCGGAAAATTAAAGACGGAACTCGACAAAAGAAATAAAAAACCATATAGGTACCAAGTAGCAGTGATCGCGATAAATAGCGATATTATCGGTTGGTTATCGCAATTATATGGTGGCAATATATCGAGATATTATCGGAATAAAAATTGCGATATATGGTGATTAAATCGCTACACATCGCAATTTTTGGTTCGATACAATCGAGATTAAATCGCCATTTATCGGGATATTTTCGAAATAAAAATCGCGATATATCTTCGGGCGATAAAAGCGCGATTTTATCACGATAAGATCGAGGATAATTGCTCAGATTTTGATGATAATCCTGGCGATTTTATCGCCGATAAAATCGCAATATATGGCGATTTTTTCGTTGCGAAATGCTACTTGGATAATATTAAACGTTTAAAAAATTTCTCTTCACAACAAATTGACATAGTTTAACGGAGGAATGAATTAATGTAGGTAGGTAATCAATACTTTGTGTTCTGCAAACCAGAAGATCTGAATGTCGATGCCGGTTAGGTACTCTTAGGGTAGGTTCTACTGAGGCAATTTCGTTTTCTGCAGCCAACTGAATCGATTACGGATGGCTCATTCAAATCATACCTAATTCAGAATATGGGCACGAGTAAATGTTGATTCAATTCACAATTTCAAAAGTTGATAACATTTTTCTCAATTTTGGCAGGCCGTAATTATTTTCAGTATAATAATTGGAAATAAATTATTAAATACATTTATCTAAAAATCATATTAAATAAGTAAATTATAATTATTAACATCGATGGTTTTTCATTAAAAAGTTTATGAATGAGATCTGTTAAAAGGAATTAGCCAAAGAATTATAGGTCATGACTTGTGAAAAAATTAAAATTATCTGTACCCGGAGCCTTGAAAAGTTTCCTTCTATATGCTTGAAAAATATGAACTTCCAACCCGAAAAAATACCATTTGAGATAATTTTCAAGGGAGCGCATAGCGCATCTAATATTTTATGATTAGAAATAAAAATTTGGGGCAGGTATACCTACAAATGAGCACATCAGTTTCAGTGCGTCCTGGCTTTTGCCGTAACTTTATGTACCTATGTCTTCTGTTTTATTCGCAAAGAAATTAAAAGCAACAATACTCTATGTGTATAAACATTTGAAGGCGCAATGCTGCTAAAAATCATACCTACGTAACGCTTGTGAATGCTTATCTTCAGTGAAAGAAATATAGAATACGGAATCTTGAAAGTAAAATTGAAACATCGTCAGCTTCTTTTTGTCTTAGGATAGGTACTTACTTTCGCGCGTATGATGTCTTAAAACATAAAATCGCGAATATATCTGTGAAGTCGTTAAACTATACTCATCAAAGCATAATGTTATCCTACATTCTTAATCCTGAGTATGGACTCACGCTGTAGGTAACTACCTATTAATTATTCCATAGTCATCAAGGCAGGAAGTAGAAATGAGAGTTTAATGCTGATATGCTTCATTTATAAAATTAACAAATAGCCATTGAGTTCCATGTAGTAGGCAAACCATGACGGATCAGCACTCTAAAGTTGAACACTGAAAAGAAACTTGCTTGTCTACACTGTACTGATGATTTCTTGACTAGGTTTGAGCGTTAAAACTGTAAAAAATATGATAAAGTTACATTTTCATAAGATGTAAGAAATTTAACTTACATCGTTAAATGGGACCCTTATGAGCTTACAACTTAGATACCTAATATTCAGAACAAGGTAGAGAGGTTCCCATAAATAACTTGAATTAAAATTATTTTACACTATTCGACAAAAATATTAAGCACGGTCCTTTCCCACCTCAGTTCTTGGGGTTTCTCTACAGTTCTTGCTTTATCGATCTCTTTCCTCCTTTTTTTAATCTACAAGGTCCTAAGTACCCTAGTTATATTTGAAAGTTAAATTTCAATCAACTTCAAAAAAAAAACAAACAAATAAATAAATAAATAAATAAATAAATAAATAAATAAATAAATAAATAAATAAATAAATAAATAAATAAATAAATAAATAAATAAAAATAATTTTTAAAAAGTACTCTGTCAGAAATATTTTTTAATCTTCTGTGAATAAAATTTATATGCAGAAACCATGTTAAGAAAAAAACAGAGGCTAAATTGCGAAAAAAATTGACATTCAAATTGTGTAATTCCAAATAACAGTCATGACGCTAAATACAAAATAAACTGCGAGAGACGCAACATAAAATTAGAGTTCCTTTATACCCTGAGGTAAGCCATCTCGATTATCAGCCGGCCTGGGCTGGCTATGGTGTCACGAAAGTGTGCACCTAAACGAACGATATTGAGGCATAAGGATAAGGAACCCTGCGATGTCTGTCTTCCAAAAACAACATTATCAACAAAACTGATCAAAACCTAACCAAAGAGATTGCAGTAAAATAAAATTAAATTGATTCATGGATAATTTCTTAATCTATTTTCATTTTGGTGCGATGAAAATAACAATTCACTCTTGATAAACCACAATTTGGTTATATTTTCATTATTTTTATTCACATTCGAGGTGCCGTCATCTTGGTGCACTCATTTGTGACTCCATAAGCGAGAACCAATCAGAATTTGATTTTTTTAGGCCTTTTTCCACCCGACCAAAAGTGAGATGACGTAACTCTAGGTATAATAGGACTCTAATAAAATATTAAAGTTTACGTAGAATTTTGGTCAAAATTTACTAAAATAAAAAAAGTTCAAAAACCTGTAAAAGTGCAAGATGGGTTTCTGCAGTACGTAACAAATAACGAAAAAGGTTTCCTGACTCGGATACTTAAACTGCTTTTTTTTTTTTTTTTTTTTTTTTTTTTTTTTTTTTTTTTTTTTTTTTTTTTTGAAAAAAGTTTAGGGGTTTTCCCTTTGAAATAAGAGTTTCCCAATCGGCAATTAATCGATCAATTAATAGAGTGTCCTCTGGGCCGACTTATCATCGATCAACTTATCGACGAATCGAAAATTAGGACACGAATCGAAAATTAGGACCTAAGTTCCCAGTTCCGGAGTCAAACTACAAATCGGCACAACACCTCAGCGCAAAGTCCAGAAGTGCTGATAGGTATTTCACGAATAAACAGGATTTCAGGAATAAATACCGAAAAAATTGTGCGGACGATTCCAAAATTATCAGGAAAAATAGTAACAACACACAGTTTTTGGTACCCAAATCCAACAAAAATGCTGATTTACATCAGCGGGCATTTCCCGGTACACGTTACTTCGAAAATTTACCGTT